CATTCTATTTCATATTGTTGTTCAAGTGGCTACTTAGATGCTGAAAACCTGTGGAGTGGGGTCTTCCTCTGCAACCAGAATTCATATGTAGTTTAATATCTCACGATCTATATACATGATAGTTGAAAATGGGTGGCCTTTAAAATATTCCAAGTACCAAGCCTAATCAAACACTTTTGAACTAGCTTCTTTACGCGTCCATTCAGAAAAACGTGAGGACCCTTGCTCATTTAGCACTACATCTGGGCACCAATGTAACTACTCCCGCTCACTTAATACTAGACTTGATCTTACTTTCAGATAATAGCCTAGCATTAGCACAAATCTGTTGTGATTGATTCATATCTGGGGTCTAATACAACCCTCTGCCCTTGGGATTGGGGCTGGCTATGAGACCATAGGTGGAGTTTGATATGTTTAAACAAGTTTGTCAAATTTTCTTAATTGTATGAAATTTTCAATTGAAAAATTGTAGAATACATGTTTTATTCTTTTATTGCACTTGCTTTGGCAAATCTGTTGCGCATGGGTTTTCTTGCTCTAATGACTTCATACAACACAATTTTATATGTGCATTGTGTTGTTTGAATATTTCAGGAGGACCAACTGCTGAAACACGCGGAATTTTGAACTTGAGCATTCAGTACTGGACTAGTCGGGGTTGGGCATTTGTTGATGTTAATTATGGTGGAAGCACTGGTTTGTTTCTCAGTTTGTCTGCGAAGTTTTATTCTGATTTCTAAATTACACTATTCATTCTCCCCCAATTTTTGTGTTCTGTAGTTGGGACTGGTAATTCTTTCATTTCTTTGTAGTTTGGTTGTTTATTTATTTATTTATTCCATTCTAGAAGCTTTTGGTTATTTATGAATCACTATTTTAATTTTCTTCTACTATAGCCTGTTGTAATCATTTCACTTACTGAAAAGATGAAACCCAATTTGTCTGACTATAATATTATTTGGTGGAAGGTTATGGCAGGGAGTATCGAGATCGGCTTTTGGGACGTTGGGGGATAGTTGATGTCAATGACTGTTGTAGTTGTGCTACTTATTTGGTAGTTTTCTTTTTCCTACATTTGTGGTTGATGGATCTGTTATTAGAGTTATTATATAATATAATCTCTTATGTAGGTGAACAGTGGAAAGGTAGACGGGGAGCGACTTTGTATAACTGGGGGCTCTGCTGGTGGTTATACCACCTTAGCTGCTCTTGCTTTTAAAGAAACTTTTAAGGCTGGGGCTTCTTTGTATGGTGTGAGTGCAACTTCTGATGCTGCAATTTTGCAACACATTTTCCTAAAGATTATAGCAATATACTTTATCATTCTACCATGAAATGAATTTCTAACTTGTCATCAGTCCAAATTATTGCTTACAGATAAGATGATACATATACCTTTCTCTGTCAGCCTTTTATCAAAATGAAGTATAATGTAGTAAATGTTCTTATAACTTTAACTATGAAAAGAAGTTTAAAAATTGTCCTTAAAATGGAATTTATTTGATTGGTGTCTCAAACAGGTAGCTGACGTGAACATGCTAAGAGCAGAAACTCATAAATTCGAATCCCATTACATTGATAGGCTAGGTGGTAAGTCAGTGATGACCATTTGGGGTACCTATTATTTCTTTGGTTTATTTGTTTCATTTGACATTCAGTGTATCTCTTAACTGATTGCAGGTGGTGAGAAAGGGTGCTATGAAAGATCACCAATCAATCATGTTGACAAATTTTCTTGTCCCATTATTTTATTTCAAGGATTGGAAGACAAGGTTAGTAACAATTAAATTATTTCCTCTTCACATATTTATTTAAAGGATTCAAAGTGGAAATTGTCAATGTATTCCTAAATTTACTCTATTATCGTTAAAATTTAAACTGATAAATATATTGTGAATGGTGCAGGTTGTACCACCAGAACAAGCTCGGAAAATTTACCAGGCTCTGAAGGAAAAAGGTGTACCAGTTGCTCTTGTGGAGTATGAAGGAGAACAACATGGTTTCCGAAAGGTACGTGATGATAATTATTTATCTTTTTGAATGAAACTGTGACTATAAGCAAAAACGGTTTGGATGCAGGCTGAGAACATTAAGTATACACTTGAGCAACAAATGATCTTCTTTGCAAGATTGGTTGGACACTTCAATGTTGCTGATGATATTACTCCCATCAAAATTGACAACTTTGATTGAGAATGGCTTTTTCTGCGCTACTGATGTTGGCTCTCATTGCATCCATGTTAAAGCAAGTTTTAAGCAATCTTTGTTCTCAAATCCTGTTAGTGCTTAGCTGAAATTCAGGAAGTGTGCTTGAACTTATTGCACTCATGAGCTTCTTCTGCAACTGCACAAACTACCCCATAGCCGTAGTAGCCCTCTCTTGAAGGTCTATATTAATGCTTGCTGCCTGGAGTTTGAAGAGTTTCTACTACATTTTCTCAAATTTTGATTGGGGATGAATTTAGTCTCGAATCTTGTTTTACAATTATGAACTTATATTTTGAACCTGTACTGGAGAACGGAGATACTGCAGTTGTTTTCGAGAATATATGTGATGCATAGATAAAATGAGTAATGATAGACCATAAAGCTGTGGTATGACTAAACTTGCTGCCAGTGTCTATTTGTTTCATCTGATCCACGAATCTTAATTAATGCCATCTAGTTCTAAACACAAATTTGTATTTGTTTTGGCTCTTTTTATGTTGGATGGTGTTGAATGCATCCATCATCTAGAATATTAGGGAACTCATCGCCAAGCCTTGGAATCTCAGTTTAGTCCTCACCTTAAGAGAAGGGAATTGTACGGATTTCTGGTATTGCGCTGTTAGAGTTAGATACCTCTCAGTTGCGTTACACTACCAGCTTTTAGCTTATGCAACTTGGATCCCTCTTTTAAGTGTGTAATTTTTTCTCATTTTTATTTTGTTATCTTACTTTACCCAAAAAGAAAATATTTACTTTAAATGTTAAGAATATATAGGTTTTTTTTATATTAAGAGAATACATAGAATTTATGTTATGTTTTTAATATTAATTTATGTATTATTATTAGGAAAATTCTACTATACCTGAATTAATCAAGGGATATTGGAACAGATTCAACAGAACATGTTATTCAGGTCATCAATCATCACTTTCATCCTAAATTTGATATTTTTAATAATTTATCTTCATAATATTTTTTTATATATCTTTAAATTACTTTTATATTTTCTTTGGATGTTTTATCTTTCCATTTTCTTTTTAAATTATTTAATGTCTATTTCTGTCCTATATGATTTCATTTGTTTTTTAATTACATCAATTATATAATTAAATAGTTTAAGTTTAATAATATTTTAATATATTTTGTCTTTTTTATTTTTTGAATTTCTATTGTTCAAATTAATTCTCCACTTCTATTACTTATTAGTTCTTTTTCTTCTTTTAATGTTTTTATAACTATTAAATCTTTCTATTTTTAGTCTTTGTAGTTTTGTCTCACTTTTTATTGTATAAACAAAATCTGGATTATTCAGTAAATTGGCCTTTTTATTTTTTGCTCTAATGCCAGTTTTTTAATATGAATTACCAACAATTATCTATTTTATCAAATTCATATTTAGATATTTTTAGATTTCGTATCTTTATTCAATTACTATTGTTCTAACTCTTCTGTTAAATATTTCTCTTCTAACATTTGCATCATTTTTTCTTTTATTTTTAGAAGAAATAATAACATAAGAATTATAAGTTTTTCTATATCATTGATTAATATTAATTTTACTATGTAGGTTATCATTAAAAAATTCAGTAATAATTTTAGCAATATTATTTCTCGAAAGGATAACTTGTTTAGTTTAGATTCTTTAACTTAATCAATATTTTTCGGTTCTGAAAATTTTATTAGGCTAGGTATTTTAGTAGTTTTTATAAATTTTTTGTACATTCTACTTCTAATAATTTTGGCCTATTTATATCTTTTTCTTGGCTAATATTTGTTAACGTTTAGTTTATATTATTGATTATTAATTTTTTGTAATAATATTTTAGCTGTTGCTGTTTGAGAAAAAGCAGCATGGATATTGCATTTCCAACTTCAGCGAGAAGCTCGTCGTCTAATTAAGTTTATTAACCCTCTTAAGAAAAATACCAAAACCATAACCCTTATTATTATTTTATTAACATTAATTTGACCATAATTTAACGTTAAACTCAAACCAATTTAATGATTAATCCAATTTTAAAAGATTTTATGTAGTGCATACTTGTTTTCTTGTTCATAGTTTCAATTTTCAAAATGGACGTTCTCTACAAACAACAAAGTATTGGAATAGGATTAAAGGCAGAATCACTGTAGTAAAGTCTTGGATCCTAACAAGAGCTGATAATGTATCACATCAATTATATTTTGCCTAAGCAACACACTGTTTACTACATTTCAGGAAATTTGGACCAACTTTGTGATTGAGAGTTACATTCTCAAGCAATTTCCTCTTTAATCTTTAATCTTTAATTGTAGCAACAATTTATATCTTAACTCATTTCAATAGTTGAAAGTGAATTTTTTGGTTCCACAATTTGCATGCATTATTAACAAGGATTTGGGAAGGACTGAAAGCAAGTGGAACCAAACATTTACTTATTATCTAAAAGTACCCTTGTTAACAAATTTCAGGGAATCTTTTAGTGGGTTTGATCATTTGAAGTGATATCTTAAAGAATTGGTAATTGAAAAAGACTTTAATATTATTATTATTATCTGAGGTGGTGTTGTGATATTGAATAGGGGAGAGATTGAAGCAACATTTGTTATTGTTTCCATCAAAAGGGAAATGGCATTCTCGATAGCCACCGTGACCACCGCCCCTTATGGCTCATGGAAGTCTCCAATCACCGCCGAGGTTGTCTCCGCAGCCATAAAGGGCCTCGCCGGAACCGCCGTCGATGGCCGTGGCCACCTCATTTGCCTCGAAAATCGACCGACGGAATCCGGGTAAGATTAATCTCTCTTTCAATTCTGGGTTTTATTAATTTCTTTTTCTCGTTCAAAAAGAAAAAAAAATTGGGTTGAGAAGCTTGAAGTACGAAAAGGTCGAGTTATATTTTTTTTTTTTAAGGTCAAGTAGTCAAGTTATATTTTTTTTATAAACAAAGAAAAAATTATAAAAATAATCAAAATTTAAACTTAGATCTCGATGTTTCTAATTATCTTAATCTCGGTCAAATTACTTGACACACTAATTTACACTTTTACTTCATTAAGAATTCTAACCTTTAGTTTTTTTTTTTCTAAAACAAATTTTTTTAAGCTTTAAAAAAACCTTAAATACGATTTTATTATATGAAAAATGAGTTAACTTTAATTTTAGTAACAATTTTTTTCCCTCAAATATATTTTTAGTTAATGAAAAATTAGTTAGTTTTGATTTGATCTCTATAAAAAAAATCTTTATTTTTCATTTATCTAAAATTGAAACTATAATTTTTAGTTCTTATTTTTATATAATCTTTTTTAAATATTTTTTACATATTAAAACGATGGTTTAATTGCACTTTTGGTCCTTCTAATTTAGTATAGAAGCAATTTTGATCCTCATAATTTGAATTGCTTAATTTTGATCCATAAATTTAAATAATGGACAATTTTAGTCTCACAAACAATTTATCATCCAAAATTTAACAGAATTAATAACGGGAATTTTATACTAAATAAATATTAATTATATATTATTTAATTTCTTACGTGGCAAATTATCTAATTTCTTATGTGGCAAATTATTTAATATTGATATCAATAAATCATTAAAACTAAAAAGCATGAAATTATTAGTACACGCAAGCAGCAAAGTTTGAATCGACGGAAAGTGGTAGAGCAATTCGTTCAGCCCCTGTTCCTCGACGGTCTGTATTCTCATCCTCAGTTGTTTCTTCTCGCCCTACCCATAGGACCATTCACCCTCTCCCACTTCCTAATTCCCTTTCACCTTTCTCACTTGTAAATTTCACACTCCACATTCTCTCTCTTCCCTTGTTCATTTTTTTTTTATTTTAAATTTTGACTTTGAGTTGCATGCATTTTCTGGGTTCCATTGCATCCAACGCTGTTCACTCCCATGGCCCATGCTCTACAACCTTCATTCACCTCTTTATTCAATTATTCACTTATCATTGTAAACTCTCAATGGAATCGATGTTATAAAAAGTGTGCTTAAATATATTTCTGTAATGAAATTATACTTTTTTTTCTTCTAATTATTGGTTAAATAATAATAAACACAATACGGATCCTAAATCGTCTATTTCTTAATTTAATGTTCGGTGGCGTTATTCTTGATTTAATGTTAATCGTCATATTTCCCAGACTTCTTATATCAATGTCAATGCCTGACCCCAGTGGCTTTATCAAAACATGTATACAACGATTTTAATTAGTCTTATATCAATGTCAATGCCCGACCCCCAGTGGCTTTATATGAAATTTCTGCATTTTAATTATAAATATTTTACTAATCCTGCTATTGCAAAATGGCTAAATTTTATGCAGTATAATAATAATAACGCGTGTATCATTCTTTCTCACATATATTTTTTTTAATTTTAAATTTGACTAATTTAAAATAAAAGTATTTTATTGTGACATACTTTTACTGATATATTATCATGTAATGCTCTAATTTTTCACCCACTGTTATGTTTCTTTTGGAATGCACTAAAGATTGATGAATAGAAAAATTAAAATTGCTTTGTGTTAGTTACCCATTAAAGGTTTATAGCCAAGTTAGACTAGTAATCAACAAACCAAATTGAGCCACACCATAAACCAGCAAGCCAAAACCAGACTAACAACTAGCAAACCAAGCTAAACTAAAACAACAAACTAGCAATCCAAAATAGACCAAAACAGAGCAAAATTAGATTAAAAAAAAACAGTAAACATTATATGCAACCAAATATAATATATCGAATTACATTCAAATCATTATATCCTTTTATCTAAATACATCAGTCTTATGTAACACATAATAAAGTGAAGATCAATCCCTATGACTAAATAGAAGAGTCTTACATAATAATTACTGGTCAAATGAAAAGAAAAAAAAACTATAAAGACTTTGTAGATCAAGCCCTATCTATTATTGGTGCTTGTGATTCTTGAGTCTGTAGTACATGTGTAACAGAGGCTTCAACTTATGCAAGTGTGTTTGAAGCTTGGACTCCAGTATGTGTGTTAGAAGCTTGGACCTGTGCAAACCTCACCAAAAACCACATAAGTAATAATCCATAAAGACTAAATAAATAAACCTTTATTTACTTTTTAAAATTACCTTATTTTCACCTTTGGGAATTTCCCTGTCAGCAACTGTTTTCCCCTTACAAGTCCTTTTATTGTGACCAAAATTTTCACATTTCTTACACTTGATTGTTGTATGTTGCCTTGGCAACTTGTGGGGGTTCTGTGGCTCATCAATTGACCTTTTTCGTTGTTTCTTAGGTCTTCCAGGTGCTCTCCTCATGAGGGGAGGTTTTATAGGCTCACAATGAACTATAGGCCATAAATTAGGTCCATTGGATGGCATGCTTATGTGAGAGTATGTAGCCAAGAAAGTTGTCTTTCTGCAAAAAATAATTAACCCACGTTGAACAAATATACTAATATGTATTAATGACTACTCAAAATATGCATACCTGTAGTGAATACAAACATAATCTTCTGCAACATAATTATTATGCCACATGCAAGCAATAACATGACAGCAAGGAATACCCGTCAATTCCCATCTTCTACAAGAACATGAATGCTCACAAATATTTACCACATATCTTTTTGTGTCTCTTGACACTTCAAAAAGAGAAAATCTTTCATCTCCACACCAATTTGGACTCCACCCATTAGAATCTTGTTTATTTTTCTCAAGCAATTGTTGAATGATAGGACATATTTTACCTTGATACCTAAGCATTAAACCCCTTTGACTCACAATTCTATTTGTGATGTAAAACTTCACTCCCTCAATCAATGTGAATTTCCTTGCAAGCCACTCTGTCTTTGCTTGCCTATTTTTTGCTGTTCTATGACATGTGTGATTCTCATACAAACTCACAACTTGCCAATACTCATGGTGTTCTGACTTACTAACCCTTATATTAAACGGACAATCCTTCACACATCTTATGACCATCCTAGACTTGTCATTCTTGTTAAAGTGTAGATTTCTTTTTTGCACCATTGCATATTCCTTAATTGCCTCCTTCACGACCTTTTTTGTGTTGAAAATCAAGCCTACCTCAAACCGAACATTGGAGTTGTCTATAGGCATTTTAAATTTTGGAAATTTAGGTCTTTCTTCCTTGTCATCATCACTTCCTGAAGGAGTTTGTAAAAAATCAGAATCCTCATCTTCAATCTCAAAATCAACATTTGTTATTGGCTCTAAGTTTCTAGATAAGGTGGCAGCTCGTACACCATTACCACCCTCTTCAATATTGTGATCAATACCAATGTGATCGACATCTCCTCCTTCAGTAGAAGAGGATATTGTTTTCTTACAACCAATTGAATTAATTATGTTTAAGGGAAAAACCCTTGTCCACTCCCATTTCTCATCATGATCACTATCATCCACTGAAATATCTTCACTCTCAACCTCCTCCTCATCATTTGTTGCATACAACATATCTTCTCCAATTTTATAATCATCTTCTTCTTCAACTCGAACCTCAAATAGACCTCTATCTTGTGATTCTTCATCCCCCTTGTCTTCACTTATAGAGTTACCTTCAACATTATCAAGATCAACAATTTCAACTTCAATTGGTGTGTTTGTTAGATGTTCCACATAAACATCAACTACTTCATAACCTTTGACATCATTAACAAACTTCAATACATCAACGTCGCTATTTAATGGATTTAACCCATGAGCAAGAGAAAACTTTGGGTGGCTATACCACATACACTTGAAGTCTTTGTACCCAAGGGTTTCTACTAGTTTTGTCAAATCAATGTAGGACATTTCATCCACATCCCATCCCCACTCCATTTCGTTCACTTTTCCCTTTACATACATAAGGCAAGGGTGACTAACAAACATGCCTGCATGATTTATACGTAATTTAACCTCATGTACCTTTGTTGGTCTGTAAAAGTAACAAAAGAAAAGCACATATAACAATAAGCAACCGAGGAGTAAAAAACACACATCTATTCGACATTTGGAATAAAAAAAACATACGTATTAAGTATTTGAGACAAATAAAGCCAAAAATACACGAAAAACAAATTTTAGAACACAAAAGAGAATCATCAAAAAATAGAAAAAGCAATTTCCCCAAATTGGCACAAGAAAATACTTTTACCCCATTAATATATGTATAACAACTACTTACATGTTAGTGTATTTCTTTTGTCCAATTGAATCCATGCGGCCTCGTAATCCTGTGAAACGTATGATAAACTTCAAAATGTCAGACCCTTCCAAGCGAATGCGTGTGAAAATCAAATATAATCTCTTTTTCACGTGCACACATCCAATATAAACTATGACTACACGATTACCATCACTCAGTGAAAAGTGAAAAAACACAACCTTATTAACCCTAATCATGTTTCCTTTCTCATGTAGATTAAGAAATAGACAATTTAGGATCCGTATTGTGTTTATTATTATTTAACCAATAATTAGAAGAAAAAAAGTATAATTTCATTACAAAAATATATTTAAGCACACTTTTTATAACATCAATTCCATTGAGAGTTTACAATGATAAGTGAATAATTGAATAAAGAGGTGAATGAAGGTTGTAGAGCATGGGCCATGGGAGTGAACAGCGTTGGATGCAATGGAACCCAGAAAATGTATGCAACTCAAAGTCAAAATTTAAAATAAAAAAAAAATGAACAAGGGAAGAGAGAGAATGTATGGAGTGTGAAATTTACAAGTGAGAAAGGTGAAAGGGAATTAGGAAGTGGGAGAGGGTGAATGGTCCTATGGGTAGGGCGAGAAGAAACAACTGAGGATGAGAAAACAGACCGTCGAGGAGGGCTGAACGAATTGTTCCATCACTAGAAATTAGCTTTCCGTCGATTCAAACTTTGCTGCTTGCGTGTACTAATAATTTCATGTTTTTTAGTTTTAATGATTTACTGCTATTGATATCAATATTAAATAATTTTCCACGTAAGAAATTAGATAATTTGCCACGTAAGAAATTAAATAATATATAATTAATGTTTATTTAGTATAAAATCTACGTCATTAACTCTGTTAAATTTTGGATGGTAAATTGTTTGTGGGACTAAAATTGCCCATTATTTGAATTTATGGATCAAAATTAAGCAATTCAAATTATAAGGACCAAAATTGCTTCTACACTAAATTAGAAGGACCAAAAGTGCAATTAAGCCTAAAACGATTTTCGTAAGTGTTATCCATGATATATCCTGTTAGAGTTTGAGACGTATAGATCCTTAAACTAATAATTTTTTATCTATCTTAAAATGACCATTAAATATTAAGTGACTTTAAATTCTAGAGGGATGAAAATATAAAATATATATTTTATAAGAATTAAAATAAAAAAAAATTGTTCAATTCACAAGGACAAAAAATAATTTTATAAATTTTAGAGAAATAAAAAATGAAGAAACAATTTAACATAGATCAAAATTAAAACTCACTCATGTTAGAATGACTAAGGATATATTTAAGTTTTTTTTTCCTTTATTTTACATCTTTTTAAAATTTATAAATATTATTTTTATTCTTCTATAAATAAATTGTAATTTTGATCTCTCTAAAATATTTATCTTAAATTTTTATGTTTATAAAATCTAAATTCATTATTAGTTGTATATCGATTATTTTATAATAGATAAATAATATGCTAAAATAGTGTCGCAACAATTATAAGTCCTATTTGAGATAATTAATATCCTAATAAACGCATAAGTTGTTTACATTAAAAATTATTATATAATAACATATAATTAAACCATTAAGATCAACATAGTAATAGAGGATTAAGACACTATGCAGATGATCTTAATAAAAAAATTATAACATATAATTTCTAAAATTAAAATACAGAAGTGTAGTCTCATGTATTCACTTAGTGTGCAAAATTTAATCATTGATGGAAGTTTGAATGGCTCATATTTCGATATTGCAAATTATACTTAAAACATGTATTCAAAATTTGAACCATCCAATCTCTGTTCAATAACTCTAATTTGCATGTGTATGAGTAAGCATTCCTAAAATTAATTTTGTAATTATAGTTAATAGAAATTTTTTAATTTGATATAATTTATATGTGGAATATTAAATATGTAAATATTAGCATATAATCACTTTAGTTGATATTTGAATGTGACTTAAAATAATATAACATGAATATTTTTATCCCTCAAAATTGATTTTTTTTCTCTCTTCTTTTTCTTTCTATTTTTTTCTTAACTAACAAAGAATATTACTATTCATATGTTTTTATTATTTTACTTTTTCATCCAAACGCATTTGAGAACCAGCGTAAAACTTATTTTTAATACTTTTCTTTTTAATAGTTTGTTAAAAATATATACAAAAAAATTATATCAATTATTTTGAAGTTTAACATGCACATCCTAAATATTTCTAATTACTTTGATAAATTGTTGAATCATTGTTATATTTTATATAATAAATAATAGATATTTATTTATTTATTTTTCAAACAAATACTTTTAATTTGGAATTTGCAATTTATACCTTTTTTGGTTTAACTTTTGTTTCAGGCGAGGAGTCCTTGTTCTTGAGCCGGAAAACACAGGAGATGAGGCTGTGGATATTACTCCTAAGGAGTTTGGAGTGAGAACATTGGCTCAGGAATATGGAGGTGGTGCTTTCACTGTTTCTGGGGATATTCTCTTCTTTGTGAATTACAGTGATCAAAGATTGTACAAGCAGTCCATTAGTTCTCTAAGTAAGGATTGATCAACCATCATTTTTTTTTATTTTGCAATAACCACATTTTCTAAAACAATGTCATGAATTAATTCCATGTAATGACATTTTTGTTTGTTCCGCTTAATCATTTTTTAGTTACATCTAGTTTTGTTTTCTCTGCAAAGAAATTCTAGCAACACAATTTTTAATGCACTCACATTCTTTATTGAAAAATAATATATGCACGGAGAGTATAAATAGTTCTTACTTCTTGCATTGTCATGTATCATGAGTTCGGTGACTTGTACAATAACTATATTAAAACTCACAACTATGGATTATAGGACAAAATATATGAGGGTGGGAATGTGATTCATCATTTAATGGGTCTCTGGATTTCATTGACTAATAATAAGTGATTCGACTTCTCTAAAGTGATGAAAGGTAAGTTAAGTGATTCCAATTTTCCAGCCCATTCATGATTTGTTTATGAATAACAACAGTTGAATTATTATCAATTATCAAGATTACTTATTTTACACTCTAAAGTGAGTGCTCACTTTAGAAAAGCAAAATGTAAAACTATGTTAGTAGCATTTTTGTTCCTGATAACTAACTTTGGTTAGTGTGTAATTGTGTACATATATCATTTGTATTAATTTGGGAACCTTGATTTGACACTATGTTATTCTCAAAAAGTGTATGTGAAGCAATGTTTCTCAATTTTGTGTTTGAATATTTTTGGTTTATTGCCTTGCAGATGTGCCTCCTGTACCACTCACTCCGGATTATAATGGACCTTTAGTCAGCTATGCTGATGGAATATTGGATGCACGCTTTAACCGTTTTATTAGTGTTAGGGAAGGTAAAGAGTCCAAGATCAATTTTTATTCAAGGCTCATATTAGAGTGTTCTCACATTGTTTTTACTTGTTTCATTATTCATTTATTTGGTCATAAATGTGTAATTATGTTGCTAGATCGTCGAGAAAGCAGTCTGAATCCACCTACAACAATTGTATCTATAGCACTTGGCATCAAGGATATTCAAGGTAATAAGTTTCATATTACAACTGTGTTGAACCTGTAGAGAGGTTGAATAATATTGCAAATAAGTATTTCATTGTTGCTCATCCAAGGTTTTGAAAAATTGTGTTATTTTCAGTTGCTTGATGGTTGTTTTCTTTATACGATGAATTGTTTGATATTATGTCTGACTCAACCGTGTGACATTCAGAACCAGAAGTTCTACTTAGCGGGAGTGACTTTTATGCTTTCCCCCGTCTAGATTCTAAAAGTGAAAGAATAGCATGGATTCAATGGAATCACCCCAACATGCCATGGGATAAAACAGAACTTTGGGTTGGCTACATTTCTGAAAATGGGTGAGCAAAACTCTTTCTTATGGTAGTAACTTGTAAGAATTAAGATAGTTTGCTTAAGCATGTAGGTTTTACAATTGATGTGATGAATAATCATTTTCATTTTTTATGTTTGTTTTGGTTTTTCAAATCTATTACAAGTCTATCTATATATGATGTCCTTAAATATGAATTCTAGTACTTTTAGAGAGAGATTCAGTTTTTTCTTCTGAATCATTTAGCACATGTTTAATATTTTGTTGATTATGGAACATCATGTTAGGATATAGTATAAAGGAAATTAGAATAGTTATTAGTTAGAAAGATATCATGGGCTAGGCCCATCACATCTATAAATAGGCAATTATTGGGTAGAGGGGAGTCATTCAGATTTGTTCACATTTGTAAATTGAGCATTAGCCCTTTGTGAAAGGGGAAATCCTTTGTGAAGGGAAAATCCTTGGAAGAGATATTTCTCTCCTATTTTGTGTTCTTTTTACCATTTTCAATAAAATCTTTCTTTTCTTTCTCTTTCCTAATTCTTGGTTCCTAACACATCATATGGTGTTTCTTCTTTCCATAACCTAGAAAAAGGAGAAAAGTGATTACTTGGTTCGTATCCACTTTTCAAATCTCAACTATTAACACAACTTATTCACACTATACTTTTCTTCATGCACTGCTTTCACAAAGGATCATGTATATGTTTTCAAAACTTAGGTACAATTCTTTAAGTGTGATTGGTGTTGTTCTCCAATCAAAATTGGAGTTTTAGCTCAATAATATGCATAAATGTATATTAATGAGACCTACATTAAATATACTTACATAATACACGGTAAAACTTTAACTCTAATTAGAAAATAGCACTAACTGCACCTAAGAAACTGTACTTAAGTTTTGTCATATATTTTATTCCCTCTAAAAAGATTTCTTCTTTACCCATTTTTGTTTCCTATTTTGTATTCTGGATCTCGTTTTCATGTTCCAGATGATAGTTGGACTACCTATTTTTTATTATGTGTATATGTCATGTTTCAACGTGAAGCTTAATCATCGTACGGTTCCATGCAGCAAAATCTACAAGCGCGTTTGTGCTGCTGGATATGATCCTTCAATTGTGGAATCTCCAACTGAGCCCAAATGGTCCCCTAATGGTACATAAACTAAGCATTTTTGAAATGCCCTTCCCCAAATATTACTTAGCAATTTTATACAACCAAAAGTTGACATATTAGCACTAATCAACTAATCATCAATCATTTAGTTTCATTGAAAAATGTTTCTTAAGGTCATTGTCATGATAACTCTAGACATGCGCTTATGATCCTTGATCTATGTTAATTCACGAACACTAAAAGTTCGGTGATTTAAAACTTCTTATGTTTTAATTCTCTTGCTTTTATAACATATCTTTCATTGGATGTTGTGGTTCAAATCTTACCATTGAGTCTAAGAGGAAGATTTGTTTTGATCTTTTTGTGCATCTTGGTTTATTATATTTTTATTTTTTAACTATGCAGGGGAACTATTTTTCATCACAGATAGGGAAAATGGTTTTTGGAATCTCCACAAATGGGTAATTTTATTTCAGATTTTATTTCTTCAAGCCATTAATTATATATAATGGTTTTTTTTGAACTTCTATTTTTTTTTTTAATTTCTGCATTTTAAAATATTCATTAATAATTTTAATTGGAAGTAATTTGTCCAGAAATTTAATTTCACAATAGTTTTTAATACATCCTAAAATTAAAGTTTTAAAAGTGTTCCAAAATTTACTGAAAGTCGTTAGGTCAAATAGTTTGGCAGTTAGATTCTCTAATCAAGGTTCAGGATTCGATCCTGTCTTAGACATAGAGTCGTGATTAGTGGTATTATTTTATCCTTAAAGAGCCGACCCAGCGGGAAGGATTTATATCTCCTTGTTAAACAAAAAAGAACTCTTCCAGAATTTTGACTATACAATGTATTAAACACTCTTTTGGAAATTTGATTTTAAAAGTGATTTATTTAATGATTTCCATAATTAATTTTCAGAAGAAGCAATAATATCTTGTTTAAACATGGGTAATTTTATAATAACAACTAAAAAAGATGGGTGGTGCAAAAAAGCACCCACCAATCACCATACATAAAAGTTTATTAAACATAATTTTTAGGCATCATCAATTCTAGTCAGTTTTTTTTTTTTTTTTGGTTTGATCCAATCAGTGAGGTTAAACATCTTTTTATTTTAATCATACGAATGCTTTCTGTTGATATTTTACTCTCTATACAATCACTCGTTCCCTTTTTGGTTTGCTTCAATTCCCAAGTGTAAAAGATGATTGTGACAAATAATTCAATAGCATGCAAAAACTTTAATGCATTTTTTGCTGGACATACAATAGTAGTTATTAGTTCATCACTTTTCTAACTTACATAATTGGTTACAGATTGAGTCCGAGAATAAGGTTGTTTCTGTTTATTCTTTGGAAGCTGAGTTTACAAGGCCACTGTGGAAGTTTGGTATGAATTCATATGAATTTGTTCAAAGTACTAAACAGAGAAACTTAATTGCTTGCAGTTACAGGTGATTCTAAGTCTACTACTTGCAAATCTCTATATTTGTGTGTGCTTCCAAATCAATTCAAGGTTTTGATTGTTGCAGGCAACAAGGGAAGTCATATCTAGGAATTATTGATGCGAAGGGCTCAAAGCTAACTGTGATTGATATTCCTTGCACAGAGATAGATAACATAGTAATTTTCAAGATTGTTTCATTATTTTTCTCTTTTGGGTTTAAATCAGTTCCTGAAATGCATTAATAATCTTATTTGTTAAATCATGCCATTGTAGACATCTGGTAATGATTGTTTATACGTTGAGGGAGCATCTGAGGTTCTTCCATCGTCAGTGGCCAAGGTATTTTCTTCTTTCACCCATCATTTTATTTTTGAGTTACTTCAATGCACCCGATGACAACTCTCTTGCTTTCTAGGTGACTTTTGATGATGATAAATCAAAAGCGGTGGACTTCAATATTATTTGGTCATCCTCACCGGATAGTTTGAAGTATAGTTCCTACATTAGTAAGCCAGAGTTGATTGAATTCCCAACTGAAGTTTCTGGTCAAAATGCTTATGCGTACTTTTATCCACCTTCTAATCCGGATTTCCAAGCTAGTGAAGAAGAAAAGCCTCCATTATTATTAGAGAGCCATGGTAAATCTTGGTCTTGTATTTGTACTAATCACATTATATTTCATATTTTAATTCATTTGGCCAATTAGATGTGGAAAACCTGCGGATTGGGCTCTTCCCTCTATAACTAGAGTTCACATGTTGTTTAATATCTAATGATTTACTTTCATGATAATTGAAAAGGGATTGCCTTTTAAAAAATTAACTGTATGCTAATACTCTCAAATATTACGAAGAGCATGACTCATTTCAGAAACAATTTTGACAAAAATGAAAGTGACAGTAGCAATTTTGATTTCAAATTGTTGAATACATATTGACTTCGGTTTATTTGTATTTTGTTTGTCGTTCTTATCTCATTTCAGAAGGACAGTACCAATGATTTCGACAGATTTTACATTAATATGTTTCTAGTTTCTGATTGTGACAATTATAACATTAGTCTTCTTGATAGGTGATAAAGTAATATCAGAGATATATTACACATGAAAATTTAATGCTTCATAATATGATATGATATTGTCATGAATCATGATGCATTTTCTCTTATGAATTGGTGGTATCAAGGTTATACAAATGGAAGATGAATTGAAACTTCAATATGTTTTAAAAGAAGTTTGACTAAACTTTCTCAATTGAATTCAATTTTCAATTGAGATTTGAGAAGTGACAAAGTACCTTGTTATTGCTTTCATTGCACTTGATTACTTTTGTCAAAGTTGTCATGTGTAGTTTCACTCAACCTAATGGCTTCATACAACAAACACTTTTACATGTGCATTATTTTATTTGGACATTTCAGGTGGACCAACTCAAGAAACTTGTGGAATTTTAAATTTGAGCATTCAATATTGGACTAGTCGAGGTTGGGCAGTTGTTGATGTTAATTATGGTGGAAGCACTGGTATGTTTCTCAATTCTCACTTTATCTACTAAATTATGTTCCAAATTATATTACCAGTTTTATACCTTCATTTTCTCGTTAGTAGGCTTGTTTATTTATTTATTTGTTTATTTTATTAGCCATCCTACAAAGTTTTGGTTATTTACAATTCACTATTTCATGTACATTACTTCTAGCCTGTTGTAGTCATTTTCATTAGTTAAAAAGATGAAAGTCAGTTCATCTGTCTTTCATATTGTTTGGAAGGTTATGGCAGGAAGTATAGAGAACGACTTTTGGGACAGTGGGGAATAGTTGATGTCAATGATTGTTGTAGTTGTGCTACGTATTTGGTAATTATTTTTTTACCATTTCCAACTTTTTTGGTTGATGGATTTGTTATAAGAGATGTTATATGATAGTATAATTTATCATCTAGGTGGATAATGGAAAGGTGGATAAGGAGCGATTGTGTATAATGGGGGCCTCTGCTGGTGGGTATACCACCTTAGCTGTTCTTGCTTTCAGAGAAACGTTCAAGGCTGGGGCTTCTTTGTGTGGTGTGAGTGTGTCTTCTGATACTTATGTTTATAGATACATATACCTTTCTCAATCTCTTGGCCAATATCTTGTATAACACAATATTTCTTCTTATAACTTAACTGTTCTTTCTGATATTTATTTGCCAATGGGATCTCTTGAACAGGTAGCTGACTTAAACTTGTTGAGAGCAGAAACTCATAAATTTGAATCCCATTATATTGATAACCTAGTTGGTAAAGTCAATGATGATAATTTAAGGTACATGTTAGTTCATCTGTTTATTTGTTTTATTTGGCGTTTAATATATCTCATGTGGTTGCAGGAGGTGACATTGAGAAAGAGTGCTATGAAAGATCCCCAATCAATCATGTTGATGATTTTTCCTGTCCCATTATTATATTTCAAGGATTGGAGGACAAGGTTAGTAGTGCTATTATTATTTCCCCTTACCATACTCAATACATGATAAATGTATTTTATGCATTGTAGGTTGTACCACCGGATCAAGCTCAGAAAATATATGAGTCAGTGAAGGAAAAAGGCGTGCCAGTTGCTCTTGTTGAGTATGAAGGAGAACAACACGGTTTTCGAAAGGTGCGTTATGATTTAATTATTTATATTTTTGAATAAAACAGGGACTATATGCAGTAATTGGTTGGATGCAGGCTGAGAACATTAAGTTTACACTTGAACAAGAAATGGTCTTCTTTGCACGATTGATTGGGCACTTTGATGTTGCTGATGATATTACGCCCATCAAAATTGACAACTTTGATTCATAATGGATTTTATAGGGGTACTGATGTTGGATTTCTTGTATCTACATAAAAACAAGCTCTAAGCAATCTTTGTTCTCAAATCTAAATAGTGCTTTGTAGAAATTCAAGAACTCAGATGGAAAGTATTGCACCAATGAGCTTCTTCTATTGCATAACCATATAGTAGTCTTCTATATAAGATCTGTGTCAATGCTCATAGCAAAAAGTGTGCTAAGTTTCTACTATAATTTATGTTTTGAAAGTGAGCCGAGGATACTACAAATATTTGTTTTCTAGAATATGTCTTGCATGGATGGGGAAGGGAATGATAAACTGAAGTGTTGTTATAGTATTAAACTCATGTTTTGGCAATAAAGTGCATTTCTTTTATCTGATCCAAGAACGATGATCCATGCAACTAGTTCCAAGCATGAATTTTTAATAAAGGTTTTTATTTTTGATAAGTGAATTTGCGGTTACAGTTGCTTTCCTTACACGAGCTAGACTTTTGGTAGCAGCCATGTATTCCATGATTAAGGAGTGGAAGCTGAATCAAATCTTATAAGATTCACTTGACCAACCTTTCGTAACCAAAAATTGCATAGTGGAAACCATCTTCTAAAAATTGAGCAAAGAATCAATCATGATGTTCCATGGTTGGTTTCAAAATTGTTTATCATGTTGCATGTTAACTCTCCAATTATTAAAAAGGAAAAACTAAGTAGCAAAAATAAATATTCATGGTTATGACTTTTGAATATTATTTTATTTTTGTTTGCTCAATATATTATAAGTTTACTTATACAGATTTAGTCATCAACTAATCACAATTAAACTATTGAAATCTGACTATTGTCTTTACCAATTTAATGACCAGTCTAGCTTTAAAAAAATCGTTCAAATTTTTATTTTGAATTTGCAATAAAGGTGGAAGTAGAACCTTATGATCTTATATAATATAAAGATAAACAAATGATCTAAATTCAAATTATACAATAAAACTCCTGATACACACTCCTTACTCCTTAACACCCGTTTGTAATTAATAATGTTATAACGTTTGGTCTCTTATTTTTGTAAGAAATATTTTTTTGGCTTAGAACATTGCTAACTATCGAAGTATATCTTATAGTGAGTCTACAAGATTGCGATGTAACAATATAATGTGATATTGTGAGGTTAAAGTGTTATCAAATGAAATTTGAATTAAGAATAAAAATTGTTTTAAATTTTATAAGAATGAAATCAAACTTAAATTTTATGAGAACTAAAATTAGATTTTCAAAATTTTTCAATGACAAACAAAATCTTGCCATGTGACAACTAAAAATACCCATTTGCATAATGTTGACATATTTTTTTTTATATTTAATGATTATAAGTATCTTTTTATCTTCTAAATTACATTTACTTACTCTAAACAAGCTAAATATGTATTTGATATTCCTAATTACGTAATTGTGGAAAAAACATGTATAATAAAAAATTTATCTTCTAAATTACATTTACTTGTTTTAAACAAGTCAAATATGTATTTGATATTCATAATTACGTAATTATGGAAAACACATGCATAATAAAATGCTTATGAGTAATTATTTATTCCATACATTATTGTGTTATTTATATGCTTTATTGAGTAAAGAGTATATGTATTAAAAAGGTTTGTATTATAATTAATTCATAAACAAATATACATAATAATTTTATTGATTTTTATAATAATTATTTTTAAAAAAAGTATATTAACAATCACTTTTAATTAATTAATGGTATAATTTTTTTACAAAACAAAAAATTATACTTTTTAAATGTATAAAAATCGCTTCCTTATTACTTTGGACGCGTGAAATATTATGAAATGTTTTTAATTTTTTGTAATACAAAGGAAGAAAACTTTTAAAATTAATTTAAAGTTTAATAGAACATGCTCCAGAAATCAATTACTATAAAAAATCAAAATGATATTAATAAAAAATAATAGAATTATTATATGACATTTTCATAATTTTTTTTATTACTTTTCATCACATTAATTATTTTATATCATATATTTTCCTCCTTTATTGTCATTTTCCTTTATCATAAAAAGTGGAGTTCAACGTGATTTCATTCTCATAAGTATATAAAAGTTCGTTTTTAATTTCTCATTTTTTTAAAATTAACTTTTGTTTTTTAATAAAAAAAAATCTTAAATTTGATTTCATTACAAATTTTGATAATCTAATTTAACCATGACATCTTGTCACTAGACACATCATGCACGTATGCCAATTAAAAGAATAAAAAATCAAAATTTTAACTAAGAATTATTATTAAATTGGATTAGCAAAATAAATAATGAACTATAATTTTAGCATGTGTATTACATAGATTAAATAATTTTTAAATATAACCTAAAATTATAATAAACTATATATAAATATGATATTTAAATATATAAATTATATTTAAGATTTTTATAAATAGATACTTTTAAACATATAATTTATATTTTAAATTTATAATAAATAATTTATATTATAGTACAATATTATTTTTATTTATTGATAATTTATTTTAAAATATTAAAATTTAATTAATAAATATATATGATAAATAAAGCTTGAATCAATCCATATATATTAAACACGAATCTTTATTTCGTATACGAATGATTTTGGTGACTTATTTTCGACGAAATGTTTTTTAAGAATTTTTTGAACTTTTTATCTGATTTGAATTTTATAAAATATATATTATTAATTATATTTTAATTATCTTATTATATTTAATATAATAAATATATTAATATATTATTTTATTATTTAATTACTTTCACATTATGATAAAATTAACATAATTTTTTATGAAAAAGATTCACTTATTTTATAAGTAAATCTTGATAAATTTATTATATTTAATAATTAATATTTTTCATCAATTATTTTAAAAATCTAATTATTAAATTAAATTTTTTTAATATATATATCAAGTTTATAAAATTTTAAAAAGATTGAAAATAAATAAATTTTTATTAACATATAAAATATTTTTTTTTATGATTATTAGTATTATTATTATCTGAGGTGGTGTTGTGATATTGAATAGGGGAGAGATTGAAGCAACATTTGTTATTGTTTCCATCAAAAGGGAAATGGCATTCTCGATAGCCACCGTGACCACCGCCCCTTATGGCTCATGGAAGTCTCCAATCACCGCCGACGTTGTCTCCGCCGCCACAAAGGATCTCGCCGGAACCGCCGTCGATGGCCGTGGCCGCCTCATTTGCCTCGAAAATCGACCGACGGAATCCGGGTAAGATTAATCTCTCTTTCAATTCTGGCACTTATTAATTTTTTTTCTTGTTCAAAAAGACCAAAAAAAAAAATTTTGTTTGAGAAGCTTGAAGCACGAAAAGGTCGAGTTGTACTTTTTTTTTTTTTTGTGAAGGTCAACTGGTCAAGTTATACTTAACACACTTTTTTACACTTTCACTTCATTAAGAATTCTTCCTTTTGAGTTTTTTTAAAAAGAAATATTTTTTTAACTAAAAAAAAACTTAAATATGTTTTTATTATATTAAAAATGAGTTAATTTCGATTTTAGTAACAATTTTTTTTTCAAATATATTTTTAGTTTATGCTAAATTAGTTAGTTTTGATTTTCATCATTATAAAAAAAAACTTTATTTTTTATTCATAAATTTAAACTACTATTTTTAGTTCTTATTTTTATGTAATCATTTTTAAATGCTTTCTGTGTATTAAAATATTAAGTAATTACTGGGAGTTATTCATGATATATGAAATAATACTTATTTATCTATTTTAAAATATTTATTAAAAATTAAAATTAGTGAAGGATGAAAATAAAAAATATATTTTATAGGAATTAAAATAAAAAAATTATTCATTTCACATGGAAAAAAAACAATTTTATAAATTTTAGATAAATGGAAAAATGAAGAAATAATTTCACATAGATCAAAATTGAAATTTACTCATATTACAATGATTAAAAATATACTTAATTTTTTATTTTATTTTTCTAAAATTTATAAATATTATTTTTATTCTTCTATAAATAAATTATAGTTTTGATCTCTATAATATTCATCTTTAATTTTTTATGTTTATAAAATCTAAATTCATTGTCAATATCGATTATTTTATGATAGATAAATAATATGTTAAAATAGTGTCGCAAAAATTATGAGTACTATTTGACATGATTAACATTTTAATAAACATATAAGTAGCTAATATTGAAAAGGATTATATAATAACATATAATTGAAGTGAACTTAATAATTGAGGATTAAGACACTATCCACATGATCTTAATTTCAAACTGTAATGCCGATATTATAATTTTGAAGAATAAATAAAATAATAACATAATTTCTAAATTAAAATACAGAAGAGTAGTCTCATATATTCACTTGGTGTGCAAAATTTAATCATTGAGGGAAGTTTGAATGGTTCAATTTTCGATATTGTAAATTATACTTAAAACATGTATTCAAATTTTGAAACATCCAATCTCTGTTCAATAACTCTAATTTACATGTGTATGAGTAAACAATCTTAAAATTAATTTTTTAAAATTGGTTTTAATTAAAATTGATTATAAGTTAAGGTAATTTATGTTTGAATTTTTTACTTTTAAATTAAATTATTAATAATAGTTAATATATATCTTTTAATTTAACATAATGTATAGGTTGAATATTAAATATGTAAATATTAGCATATAATCACGTTAGTTGATATTTGAATGTGACTTAAAATAATATAACATGAATATTTTTTATCCCTCAAAATTGATTTTATTTTTTCTCTTCTTTTTCTTTCAATTTTTTTTCTTAACTAACCAAAAACATTCTTATTCATATTTTTTTATTATTTTATTTTTTCATCCAAACACATTTGAGAACCAGCGTAAAACTTATTTTTAAAACTTTTCTTTTTAATAGTTTGTTAAAATATATATATATATTTATATATATATATATATATATATAAATATATCAATTATTTTAAAGTTTAACATGCAGATCCTAAATATTTCTAACTACTTTAATAAAATGTTAAATAATTGTTAATAATAAATGTTTATTTATTTTTCAAACAAATACATTTAATTTGGAATTTGCAATTTAACCTTTTTTTGGTTTGGCCATTAACTTTTGTTTAAGGCGAGGCGTTCTTGTTCTTGAGCCGGGAAACACAGGAGGTGAGGCTGTGGATATTACTCCTAAGGAGTTTGGAGTGAGAACATTGGCTCAGGAATATGGAGGTGGTGCTTTTACTGTTTCAGGGGATCTTCTCTTCTTTGTGAATTACAGTGATCAAAGATTATACAAGCAGTCCATTAGTTCTCTAAGTAAGCCTTGATCAACCATCATCTTTTTTTATT